TGGATAGTCGACATACGATAAATGCACTGAGCACGGGCAGGTCCTCGACCAGCCACAAGGAAGTACGAAAGTTTCGCGAGTTATCTGGGCTAGCTCAGGTAAGAATAAAGTGGGTAGCAGGACACTCGGGACTACATGGAGATGAGGAAGCAGATGCAGCGGCCAAATCCGCCCTACGAACGCTTCCCAGCGTGGAAACTGAGCCAGCAACCACCACGACAGTATTTTTACACCAAAAATTGCATCGACAGCGACAGAATTTGCTCGACAGCTGGTGGAATGAAACTTGCCCGTCAGGGTATCGTGAGCTAGATCTGCTCATGCGCCGTCGTAAACCACCAGAACTGGGGCTTTCCAGGCTACAGTTACGACATCTCATTGCAGCCCGTACGGGCCACGGCAATTTCGCGGCGTACCATCGTCGCTTCAACAATCCGCACGCTATTACAGAGTGCATCTGTGGGGAGGAAACCACCCCTACCCACTTCATACATTGTCGACTCAACGCAAATATCACGCGTCGAATCAGAGGGTCATTGTCACACAATGCCTTCTTACACAAGCTACTCGGGCCTAAGTGCTTCGAGAGCTTCAAACAATTTGCGCAGGATACCAACTGTTTTGGGTATTCTCCTGTGCATCCATCTCCTACTCTCAGTGGAGATCGAATATAACTCGTCAGGAAACTAAACCTGACAAAATGGAAATCGAGGCGAGGAGTATTGCTTCCCATTCTAAATTATTTGCAATTTATCTTTTTCTTTTGTCAATTTTGGGAAAAGGAGTTCGCGTCGGCGCATATTTTTAACTTACTGCTGGTTTTGTGGTGGTTCATGCGGTGGAATCAAGCTGGGTATGTCTTAGATGTAGTTCTGGCTGTGAACATCGGTCCTGTACTTATAGTGGATTTGGAGCTTTAGCTTAGGACTTGAATAAAACAACAACAACACATACCTATTGGATATATGAGCGGCTGTATAGCGTGGTCACAAGGAGGTCATTGGGGTTTTCTATACCTAGATGGCGCCACACTCGTTTATGCCGTGGCTTAGGCTCTGTGTGGCTTACACTTGCACTTGTAGCGCACATCTCCCACACTTTTAGCTTTAATCCGAACATGACACTCTTTTGGTCAACTTCTACTTTCGTTCTATGAATATTGCGCCTAATTCATTGCGCGATATTTCCAACAAAATGGAAATAACCCAAGCCTCAAAATGCTCCTTCACACTAAGGTGGAGATTGAGAAAACCATCACTTTTATACAGGAGATAAAAATATCAACAAGAAAATGGCATAAACAGAGGCTAGATAACGAGGTGGAAGGAGAAAAGGAGAGCATATGAGTATTTGGAAATTTGGAAAAGAGGGCTTGGGGAGGGAATCAGGGCATGACCCTCAACATCTACTGGAAAACATTAAATAACCCCATTTTAACATTGAAATAGTAGCCAGAATTTAGTTGGTAGATGTGACGGCTTGTAAGCCGATGATTGCCTGTAGCCTACGCTGTCCAACGTAGGCTTAGCGTGACACTAGGCGGAGCTCATTCTCGGAAGTAGGGGCTTACAAGTGGCAATATCAATATTGTACAGCTTCCGAGAATGAGGCGCAAGAGTGGGATACGAGAACGGATATACGGGTAAACGAATAGAAAGCCGCGTCATTGGCTGGGATAATAATCATGTATAAAGTGGCTGTTATTATCCTCTTCGATCTATATTTCACCATAGATTGAAAATAAACTACCTCTGACTATAAGGTTGCTCAATTGCCTATGCTTAGACTGTGACAGTAGATTCTAGAAGTCTTTCATAGTCTTAGACTCAGAAGGGACTATAATTATAATTCTTATCTTATATGTGGATTATAAGCTGTAGTTTATTAATGCTACAAACTTATACAACGACAAGAAAACAGGTAGACTTATGATGAGCTATAGAGAGTCACATGTCCAAATCCACCAAAACCTTTGCAGGGCCCAGAGTAGCATAGCCACACAAGTAAGAAGCGAGCACATTGGGCTCAATGCTTACTTATACCGAGGGATTATACCAGGAGTAGGAAAATAACGTTGCCAATGTGGATTTCAGTCCCAAAACAAAAAGCACATGGTGATGTCTTGTCCAAGATGGGCAAAGGGACGAGGTGAGTTGCTACGAAAATCGACAGCTTGATCTTTCGAAGCTATGGTAAATAACGTCAAAGATATGACTAGAATTGCACAGTGGATTCAAAAGGAAGGATAGCTGGAGAAGTTTCGGATGACCGGGGAAATCGAGGCGTTAAGAAGGCGAAGAGAGGAAAATTGAAACACAGGACAAGGACGGAATCCACACTGGCAACAACAACAGTGTGAGTGCACTTCTTAGAGATAAGACTATAATGGCGTAGAGTCCAATCAGACAGCTAAGGGGGTTTTTACTGCAAGGTTTCCTCTCATGTAAATTAAAAAATTTGATAGATACCAGCATGGGCCCATAGGGCGCCAAATCGGATAAAGTGAAATCAAATTGAAAAGTTGCAGTTTATTTGCATGTTATTTTTTTGGATTTGATTTCATTATCCTGATTTGGCATCCTCTGGGCCCATGCTGGTATCTATCAAATTTTTTAATTTACATGAGAGGAAACCTTGCAGTAAAAACCCCCTTAGCTGTCTGATTGGACTCTACGCCATTATAGTCTTATCTCTAAGAAGTGCACTCACACTGTTGTTGTTGCCAGTGTGGATTCCGTCCTTGTCCTGTGTTTCAATTTTCCTCTCTTCGCCTTCTTAACGCCTCGATTTCCCCGGTCATCCGAAACTGCTCCAGCTATCCTTCCTTTTGAATCCACTGTGCAATTCTAGTCATATCTTTGACGTTATTTACCATAGCTTCGAAAGATCAAGCTGTCGATTTTCGTAGCAACTCACCTCGTCCCTTTGCCCATCTTGGACAAGACATCACCATGTGCTTTTTGTTTTGGGACTGAAATCCACATTGGCAACGTTATTTTCCTACTCCTGGTATAATCCCTCGGTATAAGTAAGCATTGAGCCCGATGTGCTCGCTTCTTAATTGTGTGGCAATTCCGATCTGGGGTCATTTGCATGACAATTTACCAATCCCACACTATCAGAAAGGGGGGCAAGACTAAATCTGTATGTGGTGTCCTCTACGAACCTGAGAGTGAAATATTCTTCCAGAGCTAAGTTTAGTTAAATTTCGCAATATCAAAGATGTTGGCCCACGAGCAATTATTCAAAATACTCCTAGTCAAACCTTCACTCCTAATGAAATCGAATCCTACCTAAGCCTCATCGCGTCTCTAGTACAACCTAGTACATCTTCATTTCAATGACCACACCTCTCGTCGACTTTATCTGGCCTCAGTTGATCACCAAATACACGCCCACACCGATATTTATACCCGATTGAGGAGGCAAAGCGTGGCGCACAAATCTGAGAAACAGTTCTTTGGGATTGGCGTGAGAGAAATGAGGACAAGTTTGCTAGATGATGCAGAGGATGGATACAATCTCGACGGGTGTCAAGTTTTTAAATTCTGGCAAGTAGTTTCACAAACTTAGCTCTCTGTGTGTCAAGACTTCAGTTGCGAGAGTGCGGGCGACACTAAAAACACCGTCATGATTGGATGGTGCGCTGGTACATCTTCTTAACCGATCTTTCAAGTTGGGCATGGATAGCTTGGACACACAACCCATTTGTAACAGGAGATCTCTAGTTCAAATCCAGTAAAACCAAAGTACGTCTCTCGCGACACTGGTATACATGGATGACGAGGCATGCTTGGACTATCAAAGGTTTTGTAGTTCCCTTTGGTAGGCACTAAAGGAGGGTCAACTGTTTGTGTGAGCAAACACACTGCATAGTGATGAGAGAGTGAGTGAGTTTATTTTGTTACTTGAGTCTATGACTATATCACATATCGGCCTCCCCTTTGATCCGGGCCACACTTTGTAAAGTGCTCCTATCCTCAAACGCTACTTGAAGATCAGTGATGTACTTCCCGTGATGAATAGCAATTCAGCTCGGTATTTATCCGTAAATTTCGGCCACATTTTCTACGGAACCTTCTTCCCAAAAAATTGGTATCAACGGAAAATCTGTTGGCGAGAAATAGATTCAAAGACCTGCAGCCACAGCCGGTCGAGGCCTACATACCGGGACCACAGCCTCATAATGGTAATTGCAAATGAAATTCAGAGTATAAGTGTCTCTAAAGCCAGAAGAGTAATTCAGCGCATATATATTACACTAGTTATATGTCATAGCTAGAAAGCTGAAAATACATTAAATAATTTAAAAAAACCTCAGTCTTCAGTTATAATTTGAGTCAAGCTGACATCGCCCGTCCGGAGAAACCAGTGTCAGCAGGCCGAAGTGTGAATATCTCCTCTGGCTCGGTCACAGGAACTCAGATACTTGGTTGTTTCATTTTTTGCAATCCCAACATCTTTAATGTCGGTCTTCTTCGATGCCATCCTTGATTGGTACCAAAATAATATTCCCGTAACTTCTGTTCCATATTCTTCATGTTTTGTTGCACGTGAATTGGTTATGTTAGGTGAGTGAGCTGATATATTTTCATGGGTGACATTTGTGCGTAAGAATGCCGATTTTGAAAATCCAAGATAAAGTTTGCCATATTTTCATGTTTCAATCTCATATCTTTAGGAATTTCTCAATACAAACCTGTAAGGAGGATAAATTGTTAGAACTTGATCTTCAGAAAGGGACTCCGTAGAATCGTATAAGCTGCCTTGTATAACCCAATAACTATTCGCAAGCGCGCAGCCACTTTTTATTCGAGAGATAAGGAACCTAAAAAGTAAATTTTGTACCGTAGTTAATTTAGTAACCGAAATATTCCATCTTTATTAACCATTACGCCCGAGCTGCAGGAGTCCCTGCGTGGATAGTATGCTGAATCAAGATAATCTTTGCTGTGCCACAATCATAAAACTATCAACGCCATCATTGTTTTTCAGCCACACTATGAGAATATGTGACCACATCCACAACAGACAAAGAAAAGTTTCTTAATAGGATTTTAGCGGGAGCATTCGTAGAAGACATCAATACTGACCATACCAGTCTCCGCTGATCTCTGTTGGGATTGAAAAAACACTGAATCCTCCGTTTTACATTTTGGGCAGGTCTTATTCGATCGTGGGAGCTAGATTATTGCCTATTAGCGACCAAAATATAGTTTCACAGTGCCGTTTTAAAAATTTTCGATAACCATTGAATAGTGGAAGAGGTAGGGTGAGCTTACTGTTGGATCAGATCCAACATCTTGTGTAACACCAGCAGTCTCCCCTACGGCATTGTTGAGAATGTTGCGAAAGACGCAAGATGATGTTGCTTCTTCAGAATACTGGCAGGTCCGGCAGGCGAATTGGAGGCGATGGCTATCAGGATCTTCTTTAGGATATAACATATTGGAGCTGAACTGATATTAGGATCTCAGAGTGAATTGGGGAAGAGTCGACCAACCATTCGCTGCAAAATCTAAAAGTAATTTGTTCCATTCTTTTTGGCCCACTATCACTAGATATAGAATCTGGGGATGACATCTCGAAGAATAGAAAGTTAGGTGGGCAGATTCTTGATTGTATAGTGATATGGATTAATTAAAAGTATTTGCTAGTAAACGTTGGAATAGAAGTTTGGTAGAGTAGCGTAAGCTATTAAGCTTTTATTTAATATCACCTAGTAAGGCGTGTTGGGAGATTGAAGAGTCTGAAAACTGTAGTTAGAGTTGATGATGAATTCTAATAAGTATCAGAGTGCTATTTAAACTAATTACTACAGCTAAGCGAAGGGCACGATTCACTAGCTTATGCTAGATACAGTAAGACCCCTGTTAAGACGATCATGGTTAAGCCGTTATTGCCGTTTATTCGATATATTTTCCGGAACGGCCTTCGTTCCCATACATGTGGCTTCTGGCTAATCAGTTTATGATCACAATGATTTCACGCTAGTGTCTCGTGGCTCCAACTAATCAACAATATATTGTGAGTAGAGCTTGAGACTAAAAATATGTGAATTGATTTCTGTCATATAGGATCGCCAATTTATTTAAATATTCCCCCGCACCACGTGAGCCACTTAACAGCGCACAATGTGCACGGCCGGGTTTCCATCAATTGGGATCCACATACATTTACCGACTACTTGATTATCGTTCTTCAGCCTCTGAATATCGTCTTCACCAGGGTTTTTTTGTTAGATTGGTGCTAATAATGCCGCCAAAAAAGGGAGTATCTGTAGAGCAACGACGTGCCCTGCGACGGTGGGCACACCGCCAGGTCCCAAAACCAACATAAAAACAGTGCATTGAGTGGTTCTTTGCTGAGCACGGCCATTGATTGAGCCACTCCACAGTCTCGGAGTCCTTGAGCAATACCTTTGCAAAACTCAACGAAGCTACAAGTACTACTGCTCTGCGATAGCGAGCTGGAAACTGGCCTGACCTTGAGAGTATTAGAGCGATTAAAGACGGCAATTTGGGGTATAAAAGAGGCATCAAAAGTACATAGTAGCCTAGATAGCTAGATTAGATAATCATATCCTTTACAGCGATATCTTCTGTAAAACGATATTTTTCATGGCCCCGATTACATCGTCTTAACAGGGGCCTTACTGTAATTGGGAGGCTGGTCAATAAATGAGTAGTCATGAATGTGGCTAGTAATATTCGAACCTTATTACGTTCCATGTTAATGCGACTCTTCATTGCCAAGTAGCGCTAATTTCAACAGTAAACACACAAATGGAAGTGAATATGAACCGGGGCTGCGATTGATTAACTATTTCAAACGCCATGTATGTATTTTTTTTAATTATGTAAAAGTCCTAAGCTAAAGCTCTAGGTCCACTATAGGTACGAGACTAATGAAGTCGGTGGGGATCACTGCGTACAGGCCCAACTCCTTCCCACCGCTGGACTCGCTACCGAATTAGTAGGAAGTAAATTACGACGCAGACACCACCTACTCCAACTCCTAGATCAAAAGTAACTCCTTTTCCCCCTAAATCCAAATGTCTACAGTCTTTCCTCGGAGAAACGACAATTCTTACCCCGTTCCCTTTCGTGTCATGCATAGTGGCAATGACTAATTTATCTGATCCGCGCCAAGAGCAGTGGATGAGTGGCCAGGTCGTCTATCAAAACAGCCGGTTTCCTCCGCAAATATTTTGAAGCAATCGTGGCACTTGGGCCCGAGAAGCTTTTTGACAAAGTCAACGTGGGACATTGACTTTCTGAGCCTACGCGTTTGTTGTGCGTGACGGCTACAGTGGATGAAGTGGGTTGGAGTAGTTTCCTTCCCGCAAGAGCACTCCATAGGGGCGTGTGGATTATTAAAACGGCGATGGTATGCCGCAAAATTGCCGTGACCCGTTCGTGCTACGATTAGTGCCCGGAGGAGGTGCCTAGAGAGAGACAGTTCGGGTGGTTTGCGTCTCCGCACCTGTAGGTTGAGTTGGCGGTATTTAGGCGGACAGGCCTCTTCCCACCAACTGTCCAGCAGCCTCTGTCGTCTGCGATTCATGAGACCACGTAGATATGCCAGAGTACATAGTCCTGGTGGTGTATCCTGGCTAGGTAGGTCTCGAAGGACGCCACGGGCAATAGTGTCTGCCTCTTTGTTCCCTTGTATCCCTGCGTGCCCTGGCACCCATTTTACCAATACTTTTGCCACGTTTTTTATTGCACAGAATCTGCGTACATCTTCAAGGCTAGTTGAGGACGAGCCCGTCGTTAGTGCGCTTACAGCCTGCTGGCTGCCTAGAAACACGTGGATTTGCTGCGACCCTCCTACTTTCCTGCACTTTTCGTTCTCCAAGAACTCCAGAGCCTTCCTTGCTCCTATTATCTCTGCATCCAGCACCTCTATCCCGGCCATGTATGTATATATTCTAGTCGTATCAGACTTGCGCTCTACACCCACGAGGCGTGATACGTATATGTGATCATTGCGAACTCACTACTACCTACATGATGGGCTTTTCTTGTCAGAGAATCTATTAAAAAAATAGACAGATGATAGAATGAAAAATTGTGGCGTCCGAACAAATCCGCCCGGCGCCTTGTCCTGATTTTCCCAGTAGCTATCCAAAGGAAAATCATTTAAGATCCGTGGGAGTGCCTAGGCATCCCGGTCTATATTTTGTGCACCATAACATTTGGTTATAGTTACGAATTCAAAGAATTTATCCCGTCCATTTTCTGTCAGCATCTCGATCGCCCTCAGGAGGGGGTTCCCGTTTAAAACTTTTCCAACGCTGTAAAGCTGTTCGGTATTCTGCAAAGTGCTACGGGCGTTTTTCTCGTCCGCATTCACACTTACTGACAACATCTTCATGCTTGAATCTTTCGTGACATTTTACGAAGTCACCGTGTCCTATCCTAGCCGCAATCAACCTGTGGTGCGCCCATCTCGGCAGAGCAAGTTCTGGAGGTCGCTTGCGTGTCATCTTCAAGTTTAAGTCCACGTAGTGTCGATGCGCATATATCTGCCACCAGCTCGTCCGCACGTTCCCTCACAAGCCTGTTGAGTGGTGCAAACGTAAATCTTATTCTCCGATTTACTTCTGTAGAGGGCGTTATATCGGTTCTTTCGTCCGGAAAATCTCTCAAGGCTGCTTTGGCAAGCTTTTCTGCCCTCTTATTCTCTGCAATCCCTGAGTGTCCCGGGATCCATCGAATCTCTACTGACAGATGATTTCGACAGTCAGAGACAAACTTGTCAACCACTCTTTGGAAGAACCTCGACCTTCCGCTGCGCAGAGCCTGGATAGCTTCTGAGCTGTCTAGGAGTACCTTGATAGGTTTGCTGCCGGCTACAGTATTGCTACTTCAAGTGCTCTCTGGGGTCCTAAAATCTCTGCATCGTAGGCCTCTGCCCCAAGCAAAGGTCCTGCTCCGCTTCCAATCATTTTCCCTCCCCTGAACAGAGTGTATCCCATGCATACTTTGCCAAGCCACAAGACGAACCATCTAGGTACGCACATGCAGTGTCTGCTGACAAATTCTCTATCTAAATTTTGGCCTGGGCAGCTTCGGACTGCTTGTCGAGTTTCGTTGGTTGGCTGTTTTGTGCCATTTTTGGGAAGAATAATTTTCCAGACTTCACAACACCTGGCACATTTCCGAGGCTAGTCTACAAACGCGTGAGTTATCGCTCCGGTTTCTTAAACGAACGGCTTTTCTGTCCTGCGCGGAGTCCTAGGTGGTTTATAGTTTCCTTATGTCCCTCTTGAGATCTATTCAATAGTGGGTGCCAGGTATCCATTCGCTGAATTCGCGCTGCGGCTCCCTATTGCCTTCGCCGAAGGATAATTTCTGCCGGAGGAATGCCCGACTCTGTGTAGAGCGACGCTTAGGGTAGTTCGCCATGCCGGTAGTGCGGCTCTAACAGCCTTGGTGATGGTTTTATCCAAGAGATCCGTATGCCAGCCGACTCCTGAGCCCACCTTCTTATTTCGCTGGGTGGTGAATCGGGTCAGCCTTGGCCACCACGCCTCTGTTCCATATATTGCTGTACCAAGAACACATGCCTGTACTACTTTGACCATTAGCTCCGGTGCCGCACCGCGCTGCACAAAGTTGATTTGACGTATGAACTGAGTTATGCAAACGCCTTGTTTTTGGGGGTGGTCTTTCGCTGTCTATGTCACGTGCATAGAAGGCTGAGCAAGGCGTAATGACCTATCACAATCTCAGATATGGCTACGTTCAAGGCCCGAGATAGGACTGTTCATAGTACAAACGTTTTTTTAACAATTCATTCCGTACCTTCAGTAAACAGGAGCTAATCATGTACCAGTCGGATACTGGTTTGCCAGTTGGATGGGAAGTTCGCCATTCAAATTCAAAAAATCTTCCTTATTATTTCAACGAAGTTCAAAAACTATCTCGATGGGAGCCACCATTTGGAACAGATAATGAAAAGTTAAAGGCATACATTGCAGCTCACCAAAATTCTCTCAACACTAGACCGGACGCTGGAATACATGGGTCAACGGGAAAGATAAGGGCTAGCCATTTACTTGTGAAGCACAAGGGGAGTCGTCGTGCAAGCAGCTGGCGTGAAGTTCGTCTCGGACCATGGTACACTACAGAGATATAAAAATTCGCTAACACAGCTCAGGTCGAGATAAAACGCTCAAGAGAAGAAGCGTTATCAATTATTCAAATGCACGAGGCAAGTATCAAATGCGGTGCTAAGTCACTTGGAGAACTCGCGACAACAGAATCAGATTGCAGCAGTGCCAAGAAGTCAGGAGATCTCGGATTCTTTGGTCGGGGGGATATGCAGAAAGAGTTCGAAGACGCAGCATTCCAACTGAAACCCGGCGAAGTTAGTCACGTAGTAGAGACTGCTTCTGGTTTTCATTTGATTGAAAGGTATGAAGACATTCAATTGTATCTTCGATATAAATAACTGATATTTGTAAAGACTTGAATAAAGCGAAAGGCAATCATCTTCTGATCTATAGCCAGACTGTCATAGAGCGACAAGCCAGGTAATAGCTTCTTGCTAACTTTTTTATGTTTTAACCCGCCACTATGACGTTATTCTTGAGGTGACTGACGCTCGTGAATATCTAATTGTAGTATGCTGAAACAGTCACAACTTCCTGCAAAACCAGCAATGAAGTAAATAGACGCTAGCGTGTAGCTGAGAAATTGCAAGTTCTAGATATATTCATCGCTAGTAATCTATGTGATTGTCGAAAACGACAGAATATTTTTGCCTCTTCAAGCTGATAAGAGAAGGTACGGTCAATAGCTCAAGGTTGAAATCTCCGGGGACAATAATATCTGTATGATCACCTGTGAGTATTGCATAAAGTCAATCTCTGTTAGTTTGATTGCGGTTGATTTGGAACCCTATCAGTTTTTTAGGTGACAAGCCAGAAGTCTGGACGATGTTCATCTTGAACCTGATTGGTAGTTCATGTAAGCTAAGTTATAGCCCATTATCTAATTTAATTTATTGTATATTCTAGGACCATATCTATATCATGTTGCAGTTTCACATGGAAAACAAAATATTTCTATTAAATTCTAGAGACATACAGACCTTGTGTTGTTGTGGTTGTATTTTTCAAGTCCTGAGCTAAAGTAAAAAGCTCTACATCTTACTGTCGGTAAAGGACCGGTGGAGCGGGTAAGGATGACTGTATAAAGGCCCAAATCATTCCAACCGCGTGAACTTCCACATAAATGGTGGTGTTGACAGCAAAACTAAAATCAAATTCAGAAGAAACCCCAATTAGGTCCGGATCCCGCGCTCCTCGCCCGTTCCCTTTCTTGTCACATCTTCCAAGTGACAATTTCTGACCTTCACTGAGAGCAGAAGATGAGCTCGCAGGCACCCTTTCTCCATCTGGTGTTCTACTGTTAGTGTGTGGATATTGGCGTTGATAGAGTAACTATTGGGAAATTTACGGATATTAGTCACGTTGTATTAGTGCGGCGTTGGGGTTTACTGCCGTTCATTATTCAAGATATAGATATACGTTTTGATCAATAACCATTTTGCCCAATCTTTGTGCTAGAACATTAACTAGAACCGGTGATAAACCGACAGTTAGTGTGTTGAAGTCTCGACAACTTTTTTTTTTTCATTTAATGTGTATTCAGCTATAGAGCTATGACACATGACCGGTACTATGTATACATTTGGGATGACTCTTATGACGTTAGAGACACTCATACTCTGGATTTCATTCGCAAATACCACTATGAGGTATGCTTGCTTACACAAACAGTCGACCCTCCTCCGTTAGTACCCACCAAAGGGACGTTTCAAAACCTTTGGTTATCCAAGCATGCCTTTGTCATCCATGCATACCAGCGCCGCGAGAAATATGATTGTGTTTTGCCGGATTCGAACCAGCGATCTACTGTCTCAAGTGGGATATGTGTCCAAGCTATCCAGACTCTACTTGGCAGACCGGCGATGGCGATGTACCACCGCACCATCCAACCATGGCGATAATTATAGTGTCGCCTGCACTCCCACAACCGAAGACTTGGCACGCACGAAGCTCAATTTGTAAAAACTCCTTTTCAAAATTCAAAATTCCACGCCCGTCGAAAACGTATCCCTCTTCTGCATCATCTTGTGAACTTGTCCTGATCCCTCTCACGTCCATCCCAAAGAGATATCTCCCAGATTTGTGCGCCACGCTTTGCTTCCTCCATCGGGTATAAATATCGGCGTGGGCATGTATCTGGCGACCAGCTGAGGCCAGAGAAAGTCGACAGGAGGTGTGGTCATTGGAATGAGGATGTACTGGGTCGGACTTGTAGACTTAATGAGGCTTGGATAGGATTCGGACTCGTTGGGAGTGAAAGATTTGACATGGTGGAGTTATTTGAATCATTGCCTCGTGGGCCAACTTGTTCGTTTTTGCGAAATTTGGCTGAACTTGGCTCTGAGAGAATATTTCACTCCCAGGTTCGTAGTGAGCACCACTGACAGGTCTTCAGTCTTGCCCTCCGCCTCGACGACTTCACTGAGGCTGGCCGTAACTTTAAACTTCCTCTTCAGATCCTAGAATCCCAAAAACCGATCCGTCTGACATATAGACGTCATTCTTCGCGCCGTGAATCGCCTGAATGGCTATTTCGGCTGCAGCTCTGATGCGAGTATAGTCTGCGTGATTTTTCTGCTCGACCTTGCGAATCATCGCAAGCTGCTCTTTTTTCACCGGGCCGAGCTTGCTAGGTCTGGCTTTGCAGAACCGCGAGTCCGATCGATGAGGTCCCCCACAGTTTCGATACCATGTGGTAGCTTTGCACTCCGTTTAAGAATGCATTTTTGATCCGCAGCTCCAGCAAGCTGGAGCGTGGGAGCAATCGCGTGAGGCATTGAAGCCAAGACATCGATTGCACTACACTTTTTTTCGACGAGGTTGGAAGAGCTTTGCAGCTCCGGTGTCATCGAGGAGGTGAAATCCTGGTTGTGGCTCCTAGTCTGATATCTTCTAGCACAAGAGGGACGTGATAACATCCGCGACTTTACTGATGAAGGTATTCAGACTACTGGAGGGTATATTGTTCTCTATTCAGTTTTACATTACAAAAGATATGTGGTGTGTGCCCTAGCGTGGCACGTGATATATATGTAACCTCATGGAACCTCAAGGTCGGGGCGTGGATTCGCGAGGGAAGAGCGCTTGCCAGTTCTGGTATGGCGCCCCGGGTTTGCTGGTCCCATGAGGACGAACAAGGAAAGGAACTGAATTTATCGCTCGCGTGACTTCGTCAGCGACCATCTTTTCCGTAATAAAAACGGAACCTGTGAATGTATCAATTCTCAGCGGGACGGCGGCAATTAGAAGGGCAACCAGATTTGACACTGGTTCCAGTTTCATTCCTAATTCTGTTCGTTCTACGGAGGAATCAAGGAGCTCCTTCCGAGCGAGTTCATCCTTTGCTGTTAGAGCAAAGACAGGCCTTGTGTTTTTTTTTTTGTTTTTTCTATTTAAGACCTAAGCTAACGCTCTAGGTCCACTATCGGTACAAGACTGGTGGAGCCAGCGGTGATCACTGCTTACAGGCCCAACTCATTCCAACCGCGAGACCCGCTACAGAAAAAGTAGAAGGTAAAATATAACTCAGAAGACACCACCTAGGAGGGCAAGACTGAACACCTGTACGCTGTGTCCTCTACGAACCTGGGAGTGAAATATTCTCCCAGAGCCAAGTTCAGTCAAATTTCGCAATATCAAAGAAGTTGGCCCACGAGGCAAAAATTCAAATTACTCCACCATGTCAATCTTTCACTCCCAAAGAGTCCGATTCTCAACTAAGCTTCATCAAGTCTACAAGTACGACCTAGTACATCCTCGTTTCAATGACCACACCTCTCGTCGACTTCTTCTGGCTTCAGCCGGTCACCAAATACACGCCCACGCCGATATTTACACCCGACGGAGGAAGCAAAGCGTGGAGCACAATTTTGGGAGATGGCTCTTTGGGACGGACGTGAGAGGGATCAGGACAAGCTCACAAGATGATGCAGAAGAGGGATACGTTTTCGACGGGCGTGGAATTTTGAATTTTGGCAAGAGTTTTACGAATTGAGCTTTGTGCGCGCCAAGACTTCGCTTGCGAGAGTGCAGCTCACACTATAAAAACAAGCAAACGATGGAAGGTGTTGTGGTCCGCCTCCTTGTGATGTTCTCTGGTATGGTTTGAGTAGCCTGGGCACCTACTCCACTTGGGAAGGAGACATCTCAGATTACATTTCGCGCGGAGAAAAGTTGATGGATGATGGAGGCATTTCTGAATAATTGAGGGTTTTTGAGACGTTCCCCTGGGTGGGTATTCACGGATGAGGGTTGACTTGGGCTGAACAAAAAGCCACCATAACTTCGCAGTGGTACTTGCAAATGAAATACGAGGCATGAGTGCTCCTCTTGTAAATTGAGTCATCTTTTCTGTACTTTTCTTTGATATTGTGTCATAGCTAGATAGCTGCATACGCAATTAAAATCTGACGCAAAAAAAAAAGACACCTCCGACTCCGAAATCGAAGCTCCATCCTTCAACCCTAAATCCAGGTACAGAAAAATTTTCTCAGAGAAACGACTCTTCTCGCCTCGTTCCCTTTCGTGTCATGCGCTGTTGCAATGACTAGTTCATCTGATCCCCGCTGAGAGCAGTGGATGAGTGGCCAGGTCGTCTATCAAAACAGCAGGTTTCCTCCGCAAATATTTTGAAGCAATCGTGGCACTTGGGCCCGAGAAGCTTTTTGACAAAGTCAACGTGGGACATTGACTTTCTGAGCCTACGCGTTTGTTGTGCGTGACGGCTACAGTGGATGAAGTGGGTTGGAGTAGTTTCCTTCCCGCAAGAGCACTCCATAGGAGCGTATGGATTGTTGAACGGCGATGGTATGCCGCAAAATTGCCGTGACCCGTTCGTGCTGCGATTAGTGCCCGGAGGAGGTGACTAGAGAGAGTCAGTTCAGGTGGTGATAGGCCTTGTGTGTTCGGCAGTTATTGTACTATTCGGGTTAATGTTTCTCCAACACATTGGACTCCTCTCTGGCCCAGGCCACACCTTATACAGTGCTCCTATCCTCTTTTGTTACTTGAAAGATCATTGATATATTCTCCTTGATGAATAGCCATTCAGCTCTGTGTTTACCCGTGGAATTCGGCCACCTTTTCCACGGAACCTTATACCCAAAAAATAAAAAAAAATAAAAAAAAAGGTAGCAATGGAAACTGCGTGCGCGGGAAAAATTCTCAAAAAACCTGCAGCCCCAGCCAGGCAAGGCCTAGACACCGGGACCACATGAGGTGAGAGTATCCATCAATGTCTCCCTTCTTTGTAACATTCGAGGCCGACTTGATCCAATCCACCATCTCCGTATCGGGTGCTGGGTACGCTCCGGAGAGTCATCGGAAGGCTTTTCCTCCGTGATCAAGGTTTGGTGATGAGTAGAGCTCCGACCCTACCATCTGATCTGATCGTGGTTAGCTTCATGATAACGGTGTTGGGGGAATTGTGTTGTGAGAGACGAAGACGATACAGACCGCGAAAGCGATTGGGAATCCTCGTTAAAGTAAGGACAGTGTCACTCAACCTCGGCTCTACACACACTATGGTGAGAGCTGGAGGTTTTTAGGAGACACTACTGAGAGCTGCCGAGTTTTCGTCTCCCACCCATGAGGCAATCATTCACTACTTCGAGTCAGATCTATTCTTCGCTTTCATGAGATTTGATTTCAACCGAAACCTCATTTGACTTACATGTATAGTCTGTTATAATCAGTTTGAAAGACTCATTCCCTTGTGGACTCAGTCTTCAGCCTTAGCCAGCCTCAAAAAAACGCCCACAAGAAGATAAATACTAGTAAGATAGTGCAAATCAGTTCCTCACTATTTAGTATTAAAAAATGCATCATGGTTAAATAAATTAAATATAGGTAGTTTCTTTCATGTAGATTCTAGAAGTCATAGATTCAGATAGGACTTTAACGAAACCCAATCTAATGTAATCTAGTGTGAATCGCAGCACATACGTCTGATAACTTAGATCTTAGAGTGGAACCAAGAGATATTAGGATAGTTAATTGAGATGAAGTCATTATATGTGAAGTCTTACGAAAGAAGTGATTTCTATTCTCAGGGAGCTGCAACACTGAAGAGTAATGTGAATGACGCAAGTTCGATCTGATAAACTTATCGAGGGTCGGCTGTTTGGCTTAAACAAACCGAACTCTGTCTTTTGTATCAGAATTAATTGCGTATGTAGCTATCTAGCTATGACACAATATCAGAGAAAGTGTACAGAAAAGGGGACTCAATTTAAAAGAAGAGCGCCCATGCTTCGGATCTCATTTGCAAGTACCACTGCGAAGTTATGGTGGCTTTTTCTTCACCCCAAGTCAAACCTCATTCGTGCATACCCGCCCAGGGAAACGTCTCAAAACCCCTGAGTTATCCAGACATACCTCCATCATCCACTGAATTCTCTTCGCGCAAAATTTGGTCCGAGGCGTTTCTTTCCCGAGTGGAGTAGGTGCCCAGGCAACTCAAACTTTACCAGAGAACAACACCAGGAGGCGGACCACGGCGCTTTCTCTTGTTAACATTAGTCTACAGTGTCAGTTGCAATCTGGCGAAGACGGTTGGTTTCCTTGGATTGTACAGTTATGAAATTACTGTAGTTCGGGGTTTCAACCAAAATTGTTAATCTTCACAACCGCGTTCTCGACGAAAACTCTAACACTCACCCTTTTTAGGGACCGAATCTCGGCTCTTGGTGAATAGTTCACCTCCAGGCTCGTGTAAAACACCGTTGACAGGTATTCAGACCTCATCTCTGCTGGCTGGCACATACTTAGTACATTGAATTCCAGACTATTCTTCTACAACAGATGGAAACTCGTCCTTCAATCCCTGTGCACACTAAGCAATCTAATCTTATGTAAGGGTATCATTTAAACTAGCCTGATCCCAGTCATATTGAGACATCTAGAATCCGATTTCATGCATGACGACGATACAGTGGAAGGAGGCCTTCGCGGATTGCACTCCATCGCCATGTCCACCGAAACATTGCGCATAATTGAAAGAGTTTTACGCGACAGAGATATCGAATTTGATTATGAGGCTCTTAAGTTAGCAATGTCTAATACAGACATTAAGATGGCCATTCAGGAATGGGTAGAGGAACACATTACTCCAGAAACACTTCTCAATAAGGAGGAAGAAAATATGTGCGACTTTTTAAAATTGACGTTGGATACGAATTAACCAATCATTTGTAGGTACAAGTTACTGGTTCAGAGTGGAGATATTGAGGCATTCGAGGAACATGACCTTTCTTTGATTCATAATCTCCATGATCATGAGCTGCAAGCTGCTATCAGTGACCTTCAAAAATCCACCGCAGCTATTGAAAAAAAGAGTGAAGCTCTGCGAATGCAACAGAATGCTCTATCAGCGTTGATTAAAAGTGAAAAGCGCACAAAGCAATCACGGTCTCAAACAGAGAGAGCTCAGATTCGAAAATGGGATGCGGAGAAAAGTTCTATTGCTGCTGTAGTATGGCTATCCTATGATCAAGAATTAAGTTTTGCTTACTCATGTAGATTTCAGAGCTGACTCAAAATCTCATCTGTCAATCTTCTGACTTGGAACAACAAAGAAATTCAGCAGAATCAAACATCAAACAAGTGGTAGAGGGCATCTTTCAAAATGACGATAAATTATTAATAAGTTTTCAAAAACTAGCCGACAGTCTCGAAACTAATCAGCCCAAGTATGAAAACATAATGGCAAATATTAAAGAGTTGTGCGCCAGGTACATAAAGTATACAGTTGAAAGTGTGAGGTTAAGGCTTGATCGTGTGTATCTTGAGGCCTTGCACAGTTACTCAGACAGCCAAGGTTCTCAGCTCAATAGTCAAGAGGAATCCAATCTGATAGAAGATCTTGAATCACTGTACACGGAAATTTTACCGGTTATTCAGATGTCCGTTGAGCAAGAGTATCTCGAACCTGCCTCAAAACTTGGAAAATCAGTTAACACACGAGGCCATGCGTTGACCAATAAAGCTGTAGAATATGTAAGAACGCTCTCCTGAAATATTATTTTAATTGATTTATAAAACAGATCCAAGAGAGCCTCAAATTCCTGACGACAAGGATTGAGTCCCTTCTAGAGCGAGCTCGACAGTTCCAATGCCATCGAATGGCTGCTGAGATTCTACTAAATACAACGAAAGAAGAGTTGTCGAATCGAGAGTTAGAGTTAAACCGTAAAGATCCGAGTCAATCCGTTGCAGAACCACCCTCCCTATCCCATAGCAAGCGTCGCGTCTCAAACTTTGGCGAAGACATTGGAGCTGAACAACAACTTGCCCGTAACCTGGGTGTCACACTACCGAATTATAATGATTCGAATGAAGCTAGCATAGCTTCATGGGAAAAATTGATAAGTGAAAAAACTGCTAGGCTTGCTATACACGCCAGTAGCCTGCAGTCTACCACAGAATCTTGTATAGCATCTCACCTTTTGGACTCTCACGTTGCCTTAAACTTGCTTCTTGACTCATTGCTAGACAAAAGCGCCTACGGAACAATCAGAATGGTCGACCCCGATCTTCAAAATGCAGAAGAACTTCTTGAGCAAGACATCAGAAACCTGCAGGATAAACTGGCGACCTTAGATCTGCATGAACTTCAAACGAGAAACGTGCGGCGTGATCAAATCGTAGAACGATGGTCAAGACGGTAACCCGAATATTCTTGATTCTGAACCGTTTCATTCGTATTTGTTTAAATAGTTTATCTCTTGTCTAATGCAAGAATGTAAAGCAAACCAAGCTCTGCATGCGTGGCTGGGCAAGGCTGATAAGGAAGCACAACCTATCAACCGTGCGCTACACATTGTATCTATTATTTCCTTGCAGTTTTTTTGTATTTTAACGCACCAAACTAGCTATCTGAGCGGCTTCATGCTCTTGCGGGTATTCAGACACGATTGGAGCCGTGTTGGCTCCGGTTGGCTACCGCACCTCGTCCCATTTTAATGACAAGGTGCACCTGAGCTATTTTTTTTGCATCAGACTTTGGTTGCGTATACAGCTAACTAGCTGTGACACAATATCGGAGAAAGCGAACAGAGAAGATGACTCAACATAAAAGAAGAGCGCTCATGCTTCAGATTTCATTTGTAAATACTACTGTGAACGAATGAATATTTATTCCTGACGAGCACAAGCCTAGCATTTATATAGCTTGATACGGAATAGGCTAGTCCTTCCCCGACGACTGTTTACGACGATAATTCAGTTTGAAATTTGGGCCACTCATGTTTTTGTTTTGTTATGTTCATTTGCGTGCTAGGTAAAGTAACTACCATTGCACTCTTACTGGAGCTTAAGCACGAGTAGGGCCGGGCTGAATCCCGTTAACTACCCTTAAGTACATCTACCACTTCCCACCTGAATGACCGGACCACCTCAGGCTTCACCCATGTGTTGAATCATGTCAAGCCCAACTGTCCAGAGAACCTTCTTTTGGCGCGCCGAAGCGCAAATTCCTCCTCAGCCTCGGCCACCACGCGCCCGAGCCCTTGACACCTTCGCTGTCTGTAATTTTTCCCTTCGATTCATTCCCAGCTTTGGCTCACCTCAGCATCTCCCCATCTCATCCAGGGGTCGTTTCCTTCACTGGAGGCCTCATCCAGTCGCCCACCAAGGCCTCCTCAATTTGTATTACCTTTTAGTTCCTTCATACAGCATACCTCCGTCCTTCAGCCAATCTCGTCATACCAGAAACTTTGTAGAATATCCACCCCTCCGGCCTTGCCCCGTCCCTGCCGTACCCCTAACCGTGGAGGTCGAAAACGCGACTGAGAACTCATGACCGAGGCAACGGTGCCCCAAGCTTTGTCAAACGCTCTAGTTGGTGTGCCGGCGAAATGTCGTACGTATTTCGTCGGTGGCGATTCGTCGCAGGTCGAGTTATTGGTGCCCTTGGCTGAGGTGAGGACGCATTTAAGGCCAGTACTTCGACCGTACCTTAACTGCGACCCGCAGTTGCGGAGGGTCGGAGATCCTCTTGCTTCTTTGTCGGCGATTTGACTTTTGAAGGTATGGGATTGCTTCGGTAGGTGATGAGGTGATTGTGGAGAGGGCCGCGAGATGAGTTTGGCTGAGAATGATTTTCCAGAGAAAAAGAAAATAAGATCTTGAAGGTGTCGGTTTTTGGGATACGAACATCAGTCAGGTTATGGCCTGTCTGTAGTTTGTGTCTGGGGTGTAGATGATTGATTTCGTTGAGTTGTGCAGTCGTGAAATCTCTGCAAGTCGGATTTTCGACCAAAAATGAGCCAACGCCACTCCTCCCGATCGCCAACTCGACGAAAACTCTCAAATTCACCCTTTTTCGTGACTGAATCTCGGCTCTGGCAGAATATTTCACTCCCAGATTCGTAGAGGACACCATTGACAGGTGTTCAGCCTTCGTCCTCTTCGGAGTAGGTGGTCTCTTCTCAGTTGTAATTTACTTTCTACCTTTTCTGTAGCGAGTCTCGCGGTTGGAATGAGCTGGGCCTGTAAGCAGTGATCCCCGCCGGCTCCACCAGTCTTGTACTCAAACTGGTCCTGGAGCTTTAGCCTAGGACTTTAACAATAAAAAAAAATATGACCGGCGCTATGTATACGTATTGGATGCCTCTTTTGACATAAGAGACACTCATACTCTGTATTTTTTTTTTTGCATCAGATTTTTATTGCGCATGCAGCTATCTAGCTATGACACAATATCAGAGAGGTGTATAAAAGATAACTCAATTTACAAGAAGAGCACTTGTGCCTCAGATTTCATATGCAAGTACCACTGCGAAGTTATGGCGGATAGCAATACAAACAATACCACATCTAATCTTAGACTGTTGTAAATTTAAGGGGGAGAGGAAAAAGGAGATTGGGGGACTTGAACCACTATCATTACCTATGCTTTTTGGAACACAGAAAGGCAAGACAGCTTTACTGTACTTTCTTTGGTCTACTAAGTGCCTTGGGGGGAGGACAAGACTGAACACCTATACGCGGTGTCCTCTACGAACCTGAGAGTGAAATATTCTCCCAGAGCCAAGTTCAGCCAAATTTCGCAAAAACGAACAAGTTGGCCCACGAGGCAATGATTCAAATAACTCCACCACGTCAAATCTTTCACTCCCAACGAGTCCGAATCCTATCCAAGCCTCATTAAGTCTACAAGTCCGACCCAGTACATCCTCATTCCAATGACCACACCTCTCGTCGACTTTCTCTGGCCTCAGTTGGTCGCCAGATACATGCCCACGCCGATATTTACACCCGATAGAGGAAGCAAAGCGTAGCACACAAATCTGGGGGACAGCTCTTTGAGATGGACGTGAGAGGAATCAGGACAAGTTGACAAGATGATACATGGGAAGGAAATAACTTCGAAGGGCGTGAAATCCCGAATTGAGGGAGGGCAAGACTGAACACCTGTACGCGGTGTCCTCTACGAACCTGGGAGTGAAATATTCTCCCAGAGCCAAGTTCAGTCAAATTTCGCAATATCAAAGAAGTTGGCCCACGAGGCAAAAATCCAAATTACTCATCCACGTCGTTATTTCGCTCCCAACGAGTTTGACTCCTATCTTCGTCTCATCGAGTCCACAAGTACGACCAAGTACATCCTCATTCCAATGACCACAACACTCTTCGACCTTCTCTGGCCTCAGCTGGTCACCAAATACACGCCCACGCCGATATTTATACCCGACGGAGGAAGCAAAGCATGGAGCACAAATCTGGGAGATAGCTCTTTGGGATGGACGTGAGAGGGATCAGGACAAGTTCACAAGATGATGCAGAAGAGGGATGTAACTTCGAAGGGCATGAGATTCCGAATTTTGGCAAGAGTTTTACGAATTGAGCTTTGTGCGCGCCAAGACTTCGCTTGCGAGAGTGCAGCTAACACTATAAACACATGCCGACGATGGTGGTGTTCTCTGGTATGGTTTGAGTAGCCTGGGCACCTACTCCACTTGGGAAAGAGACATCTCTGACCATATTTCGCGCGGAGGAAAGTTGAAAGATGATGGAGGCATGTCTGAACAACTCAAGGTTTTTGAGACGTTCCCCTAAGTGGGTATTCACGGATGAGGGTTGACTTGGGGTGAAGAAAAAGCCGCCATAAATTTTTTTTCTAAAACAATTCATAGTTTATTCAGCTATATAGCTATGACACAGACTCTAATATACAAAATACTTTGCATCCCACACTCCATGGTATTTTAAATAGTATTTTAAGTTCTACCCCTTTTTCATCTATTTTGTCCCCCAAGGCACTTTATTTTATTTTATTTTTATTTTTAATCGTTTAATGTGTATTCAGCTATAGAGCTATGACACATGACCGGTACTATGTATACATGTGGGATGACTCTTATGACGTTAGAGACACTCATACTCTGGATTTCATTCGCAAATACCACTATGAGGTATGCTTGCTTACACAAACAGTCGACCCTCCTCCGTTAGTACCCACCAAAGGGACGTTTCAAAACCTTTGGTTATCCAAGCATGCCTTTGTCATCCATGCATACCAGCGCCGCGAGAAATGTGATTGTGTTTTGCCGGATTCGAACCAGCGATCTACTGTCTCAAGTGGGATATGTGTCCAAGCTATCCAGACTCTACTTGGCAGACCGGCGATGGCGATGTACCACCGCACCATCCAACCATGGCGATAATTATAGTGTCGCCTGCACTCCCACAACCAAAGACTTGGCACGCACGAAGCTCAATTTGTAAAAACTCCTTTTCAAATTTCAAAATTCCACGCCCGTCGAAAACGTATCCCTCTTCTGCATCATCTTGTGAGCTTGTCCTGATCCCTCTCACGTCCATCCCAAAAAACTGTCTTCCACTGCATGTCCTACATAGTCATAGACTCAGACAGGACAATAAAATGAATTAATAATAAACTGTCTTCCAAATTTGTGTGCTACGCTTTGCTTCCTCTATCGGGTGTAAATATCGGCGTGGGCATGTATCTGGCGACCAACTGAGGCCAGAGAAAGTCGACGAGAGGTGTGGTCATTGGAATGAGGATGTACTGGGTCGGACTTGTAGACTTAATGAGGCTTGGATAGGATTCGGACTCGTTGGGAGTGAAAGATTTGACGTGGTGGAGTTATTTGAATCATTGCCTCGTGGGCCAACTTGTTCGTTTTTGCGAAATTTGGCTGAACTTGGCTCTGGGAGAATATTTCACTCCCAGGCTCGTAGAGCAAACTCTTACGGGTGGGGGACTATTCTTGACACCTGTCAGTGGTGTCTCAGACGAACCTCTAGCTCTCACTGTAGAGTCTGCAGAGCCGAGATTGGGTAACACCTTTTCAACTTTGAGCTGAGCTATCTCTCCCTCCGTCAAAGATACGATTCCGATAACTCATAAGACGACAAAGACGACGGCAATAATGCTGGGAATGAGGAAAGATAATGCGGTACCAAACGCCACAACGGTGGTCAGAGAAGCCCTCGTTGTATTACAGCATGTGCTTCTCACAGGCGCGCGAAAAAAAAGCCCACGAAAGCAAAGTAAAAGACCCTTCGATCCTCAAGAAAAGCAGATTTCGAGTCGTCTATAATATTGTTCCTTCAAATCTACTAGCCAGGAGGGCATCTAAAATACGTGAGGGACCAGACGACCCCACGTCCGTAACGACTTTTGGAAGCTAGGCTAGGCTCTTTCACAACAGTCACTCTCGACCAAGACTTTTCTGACATCCTTTCACGACCTTCGATTTGTCCTGCGGCATGAATCAAGGGAGGATAAGGAGGAGGCTAGGAAGGTTGAGAGACACTCTTAGGTATTCACAGGTCTGCCGCGCCCGGCTGACCGGCTTTTCGTCATAAGACAGCCCCGCACCTAGTGGTTTTGAAACTTTTCCCTGCAGCTTCACACCCGCAAATGACCGCCGAGGGGATTACACAAATCCCCAATGACGACAATAACCCGACGGTACGATATGAAGGTGCAAGGCTAGAGCAACGATGAGATCTTGGACGGCATTTATATTTCGGAGTCAATGAGGATGTCAAGGGCTCGGGCGCGTGGTGGCCGAGACTGAGGAGGAAATCTCGCTACGGCGTGTATACAGCGGGTTTCTGGACGGTTAGGCTTGGTATGATTCAAAACATGGGTGAAGTTTGAGGTGGTCCGGTCATTAAAGTGGGACGAGGTTTATCTGTACTTCACGGTAATTAACCTGATCCGGCCCGACCCCACTCGTGCTTAAGCTCCAGTAGAAGTGCAACGGTAGTCATGTAACCTAACACGTTAACAAACAAAACAAAATCCGCAAACGACCATCGTTTCGTTGATTGTAGAAGGGAGATATTGACAGGATAACGGCTCCTCTTAGTGTGTACTTGAATGAAGACCTGTGGGTGTATTACTGCTGGAAAGAGGTCGTGAGGGAGGCAAAGTATGCTGTACACTACTGGAGGCATAGATACTCCCGGCCTGTATGCAGAAAGGACTTATTAGTCCTTAAATAGTCATAGACTTCATAGGACAATCAACACACTCACGCGTGCGGGTGTCCAGTCTTTCCCTCTAGATTCCTTCCCTATAGATCTGTTTTTATGTAGATCTACATCTACGGGGATATAACCTATGATCCATGTAGATTGATAAATACTGGTCAAAAAACCAGTTGATAAGATATATGCACGCGCAGTCTCACTTTTATCATTCAAGTCTACTCGGAACCATACATCTCATTACAATTGTTTCCACTCAGATCTTCCTTCTACAATCTCATGTAAGACATACTGTATCGGTCTAACCGCTGATACTGATTCCGCTCTTACCTCCATCTTCGCTCAAGCTCAGAAGTTTAATAATAGCAACAAAATTAAGAATGACGCCTGTAGGGAGCTGGATAAACTCCAGTTCCAGATTAATGAGGCAGCACCCTATAAAGTCGTGTTACTATTTTGATCCCTACATAAAATAAGTGTTAGGATTGATATTCTTGCAAGAAAAAATCAATTGAAATGGTTCCTATTTACTCCAAGTGTTACGATTATCCGAGACCACAAGGGAAAAATTTTGAAATCATTTGATGAATTTTCTGAATGATGCCTAATCACATGATAGCTTTACTGCCTTTACCGCTATCTGGGTCAAAATACTTGAATAGATGGGCCTCGATATTTCTCAGGGTTTCGGGTTCGGATGTCTGACTAGCCATGACATATATGACACTTCCTAATACACGCACGTGTACCTTCAATTCTTCGCTTCCCTTGAGTAAATACTCTTGCAAACCTGCTGTAATATTAGAGGTGTATCCTATCAAACAGATTAATGTCAGTAAACTTGCGGGAGGATGAATGACACCATACCATTAACTTCATCATGTATGTCAATCGCTAGTACAGAACCTAAAGCAATAACGCTCAATCTACTTCCCTCCATTGTTTGGCAACTGAGTTTTGATATAAATTCGTATGACCACACACTCCACACGACTGGTCTATCATTAGGAAGCCCATGCTTATCAGAGGCTGGCATTGTTGTCTGAAGATCTTCATGAATTGTATCTAGACTGCTGTGATCTTTGAGCTGACTATTATTATCGTGAGACCACCAGTCGTTTCGGGCTTTTTGCCAAGACGCGCTTGAAACATCAAGATTCATCATGATTTGAAGCGAGGTATTGGCAACATGACAGCCAACAGGATGGGCTGTATAACTATGACCATGAAGTAGAGCATCTGCTTTTGAGCTCGAAAAGAATGCTTCGAAAATGCTTTCGCTAGATGTCGTACAACATAGTGGCACGAGACCACCCGTGAGTAGTTTTGCATGAACAGAAATATCAGGATGTGTCTGTAGGAAGGAAGCAGCAGAGAATCTACCAAGGCGGTAGATTCCTGCGAATACTTCATCAAAGATTATTGGAAGACCTCTCCAGTCATGTTCAATTGAGGTTTGTGATTTCTCATTTGAGCCGAAGAGGTGAGGTGAAGTACGAACAACATCAACAAGAATATGTTGAAATAATGGATCTACCAGCTGCATCCCACCTGCCCCTAGAATGACAGGCTCCATAATCACTGCGCCGAACTTGCGGCCCTCCTTTTGAGTGAGCCTTTGCAAGGTTTGAAAGATATACTCCCTGTAAAGCTCTGCACAACCAGTCTTTAATCGTAATCTAATATCAAATATTTTGGCAAGGGTGGGAAAAACGTGAAAGGAATCTTTGTCAATATTTTGAGAACCTTCTACTTGTGGCGATGAGTGGAATGGGAATTTTTGTTCAGAGCTAGCTTTTGAATTAATTTCGAACATTTCCTCTGGTAATGTGACACGCCACTGGCCATTTCGCATAGAAACCCGAGGAAATTCAAACCAATAGCCTCGTCCTTGATACCAATGCACTTTTTCATTGAAAATTCCTGGTTCTGAACAGTCCATAGCACCAATTGTATCCCCATGGTAAGAGCCTTTTAATGCAACCACGCCAAGTTTTTCTGTCTCTTTTTGAGAATATTTGTAACGGGTAGAGGTGGCAGTGAGCGCCATCTTCGTTGCAACTTCTATTCCAGTGCTTCCATTATCGGAGAAAAATACTCGGGATAGTCGTGGATTGCTTAGATTATTGAGAAGGGTTTTGGCTAATTGAAGGGCCGGAGCATGAATGTTACCAGCAAATATTACATGTCCATATCTACCAGCTGCATATGCAGCGGCTAGAGAGAGATTTGGTGAACCATGGCCTATACCTTGAGTCCACCAGGAGGCGGATCCATCGAATGTAGCTGAGAGAAGAGCGTCTGTACCATCTGACGAGAGCAGCTCATTTTTCAGTGGGATGGTCTGGAAAAAGTCACCAGAGGCAGAGTCAATAGGCATTATTGTCTGGGGAGAAATAAGCTTGTGCTGAGTAAAAGGATACCAAATCGTGGAATGAGCATCTGAAGAAAGTCGGTCGAGTTCTTGAATTCGATTTTCATGCATAGAAATGAGTTTATGTAGAGTTTCTTCCACACAGTCTAGTGTGCTGACTTTGGTGTAATATTCAGAAATCGATTTCTGTTCTTCTTTTGCGCTAGGTAGGCGTGAGGGTGGAGGTGGTATAATCATTGATAAAACACCTCGTTCCTTGAAGTAGTCTTGTAAATAGACATGATTCTGCCACGACGAGTTTTCAAACTGTAATATAGCGTTCACATCATAGCCTCTGATATGAAGAGATTCGTAGGCAGAGATAGTTGCAGAAATCCCACCAAGACGGGAATCAGCGACTAGACAGACTGGCAGCCGCAGCGGTCGATACATGTCACTCTGAATAGTTCCACTGGGAGTTGGGGAATTAACACCACCGGCAGTTTCTACCAGTACAGTCCCGGGTCCGGCTTTGGCGCATAAGTGCAGTTGGGAAATTGTATCTCCACGGATTCTGACATCAGAGATATACTACTGACAGTGTCAGTCAATATGCATTCCCGTGTGCTCTCTTTATTTGCCTTACACTTGATGGCTTCCTCTGTGCAGCGAGATGTGGACTCACAGGCTCGTCTAATTGGTGTAAGCATCTAGTCTTGGTTTTGGGTGAGAACCTGGAAATATGAACATCGTCGGCCTGATCAAAAGGTCCTGTAGAGACAGGTTTGAGATACCAGGTTTGTTCTGAAGGAAATACTCTGGACAAGCTTTTACAGAGAATGACGGACATGATAGTCTTGCCTACGTCAGTATTGGCCCCATAAATCTGATATGATTTTAGAGACCTCCATAGTGTGGGTAGCTGCTGTAGCATTTCGGATAGCCAAGCGTTAAATATCGTCTAGGCAGTATTCTCACACTAATATCCTCTTTTGCGGAACCCCTTAGATCGGAAGATGAGAAAGCTTGTTCATGTCAAACATCCTGCAGAAAATGTAGAAAAAACTAGTAATCTAAAAAGAGAAGAGCTGTAGCTTGTTGATGTGAAAAGCCTCCACATCTTACGAAAACTATCACGCGGATAAAGTTTTTTCCACCACCGTCAACTTTATTCTTTATGAGCCGGAAAAGGTGGGGGTGAGACACTAGCGCTTTACGAACTTCGTCTCAAAGCTCACCACCCCGCCGAGATGAGCTTCCACTCGCCCGCAATATTCAGCTCCAAATGTCAAAAACTTTAATCATGCGTGGCTATCAAATGAGAAACTTGATAAAAAGTTCTCGACTCATTTCCCCTGGGATATACAATTTGCAGACTGCTATCAAGAGATATGGTAGCGTCTCAGGCACCCCACCAGTCTCTTTCACCTCGGCCTCTGTCTTCGATGCAGCTGTTCAGGCGAAAAATCCTCGTTATAATTGGACCAAGGATGAAATTAGCACTATTTATAATGTGCCTCTTATGAAGCTAGCTTTTGCAGCTGTTTGTTCTTCCACGAACTTCATCATACAATTCTAATACGGAGCAGGGATCGGTCCACAGAAGATTCCACAAGCCAGATGCAATTCAAATGTGCACATTGATGAATATTAAAACTGGTGGATGTAGTGAGGATTGTTCATATGTTTGTTTTCATTGTGCAGACAGTGAGTTATATTACTAACCATGTAGCCATATAGTGTGCTCAATCCTCTCGGTACGATACTGGTTTGAAAGCTTCAAAAATGGTCACAGTAGACTCTGTTCTCGAAGCGGCACGAGTGGCAAAAAGTAATGGCAGCACAAGATTTTGTATGGGAGCTGCCTGGAGAGACATGCGAGGGCGAAAGTCAGGCCTAAAAAATATCAAGGAAATGGTCTCTGGTGTTCGAGGGATGGGTATGGAGTGCTGCGTCACACTCGGAATGATTGATCTTGAGCAGGCCAAAGAGTTAAAAGAGGCAGGTCTTACAGCATATAATCACAACGTTGACACATCGAGGGAGCATTATCCTTCAGTAATCACAACTCGAACGTATGACGAACGGTTACAGACCATCGCAAACGTTAGAAATGCTGGCTTAAGTGTTTGTACTGGAGGTATTTTGGGACTCGGCGAGAAAGCAAAAGACCATGTAGGACTCATTCACACTGTCGCAACAATGCCAGCTCATCCCGAAAGTTTCCCCGTCAATACACTAGTACCAATCAGAGGAACTCCTCTAGGTGAGACACCTAAAATATCATTCGATGCTACACTTCGCACAATTTCGACAGCTCGCCTAGTGATGCCACGCACCATCATTCGTCTCGCTGCAGGTCGGACTACATTATCGGAAGAGCAGCAGGTACTGTGCTTTATGGCAGGGGCAAACGCGGTGTTTACTGGGGAAAAGATGCTGACGACTCCTTGCAATGGCTGGGATGAAGACAGCCAGATATTTCACAAGTGGGGGCTAAGGCCTATGGAAAGCTTTGAGGTTGATGCTTGGAGGGAGGAATTCATCGCCGAGTCACCTAATGTCGCGAAGGACGGTATACCGAATGCCGTATTGGAATCTACACCTTAAAATACGCCTCCTTGAACTTAAGTAGCCGTGAATATTTAGTTTACGGGAAAAAGAACTACGGCCTGAAACAATTTCTCTGCCCTAAGTTGCTAGCAAGCTCTTCATGAACAATACCTTGTTAAGTATCAATTGCGGATAAATATGTTCACTCTCCAACACCCTGCGCAATCATAAGTCACTATCATCAAGATTCTTGGATAACCTTTAACGGGATCAAAGTTGATAAACTTGCGCGGGACTAATATCTCGTGGTATTGAATGCCATCTTAATTGCTTTGAGAAGTAATTTCCTTGCCAAGTATTTAGAACGTATTGAAAACAAAAAGTTCGATTTGGTTCTTCTATAAATCAGTGATTCCATACGATAACTTCCCGTTTGACTTTCCTTTTTGTTTGCGTCTCAAATAAAAGATAGAGATAGAATTTCATTCGTGACAGGCACGAGCCTGGCACGGAGAAGGCTAGTCCTTGCCCGACGACTGTCTACGACGATGATTCAGTTTGCCGTTTGGCCTGCCCATGTAGAGGGTGCATTCACTGACACCAATCGAGACCTTGGTGCTAGGGGCTTTCACCCTTCCCTCCGCTGCTAATATCCACCAAAGGGGAAATAGGAATAGCCTCTGGCTACCCTACTCTGCCTTTGTTATCTTGTACATAGCCAACGCGCAAGATATGGCCTTGCGGTCCTCCCCTTTCTAGAGCGAGGTAGGTGTCGAGGCTACCGAGACTTTGATTCGGGGAGATGACGACGAGGAGGCGGACTACAACACCTTCCATCGTTGCCTGTTGCAAAAGTGTCGATTGTACTATCCGAATCGTAGTTTCAGCGCCTACGAGTACCCCAAAATCGTAAACACTCGAAATTGTAAGTTCCAGCTGTCAATCCTCCCTCAAGTTGTGTGGCCCCAATAGAATAACGGTCTCTTATATATCAAGACCCGAGCCTTGAATATCGTGACTTGGTTTCCTACTCGCGGACGTACATGACATTGTAAATTTGAAATATACTATGGCCGGTTATCGAAGAGGCAAACTCTCTCTTGCATTTGAAGCGACTTATTTATCGGTCGTCCAGGCGAGGTATTCTGTGATAAAATTGAACTAGAATCCGAGAGAAAGGCAAGGCTAGCACTGATAAGAATAAGTTGAATGTAGGTATTCTCGTGTCCGCTTTTGACCTCGATTCAGATGCGATTCCTCTTGGCCCACTAGATATATAGAGTATACTGAGCGACTACACCATAGTCGCTGAAAGGTAAATGAATCATCTTTGCCGACGGCTGCATCGCAGTAACAATACATTTGATAGCTGTGATTCAGGCCAATTCAATCCGACTTACTTGATGTGTGACTCAGCTAGATAGAGAGATCAAGACAAGAAGTGTGGCACGTTATCGGCTTTATCAAACTCACGCAGACTTGCCGAGAATCGGCGCGAATAGCTTTTATTCCATGTTTCTTAGTGTCGTCTTTAGGCAGCAAAGCGTGCATGGCCAGAGAGCAACGACCCTTTTAACATGACCTAGGAGCTTATCTAAAATAAAGAAATAACCGAAGTTGTGGACCGTCGGTGCTCGCCAAACCAATGAATATTTTTGAGCAAAATTATGCGTCGCACAGGCGAGATATTCAGACGATCGCATGACTGGCTGACGAGGATTATTACTGCAGGTCAAGGTATGTCTGGGGAAGTGGGCTCGTTATCATCTTGGTTCGCCTACCTGCTACATCTTGAAGTCGGGGCGTCGCAGGTGTGAGAGTTCGGTGGAGAATACTGGTCTCCTTTCCGCTGGTCTTGAGCTAAGAGGGGAGGAGGACCGATGGAGTTCTCGTTAGAAACGGCGAACTGCCGCATAGATTCTTTCAAAGATCACTAGGCGTCCTGGTAGTGCGATTTATGAGACAAGTACACTATTAGATAGGGCTAACTCCACGAGTGTAAGGTGTTGTATTCCAGACCAACAATCTCTAGTTTGACACTGCCGTCGTAACAAGATGTCTGCCCTCATTGTTTTCCTACATACTTGGCGTACAGGTCATGGAGAATTTTGATGGATACAATACCGGATAGAGGTGAGAATCGGAAGGTAATTGAGAGCCCAGCAAAGATGAGACTTGGACTTGGGTGCTTTCACTCGACCTTCATACGCTCAGAGATTGCCAAACTAGACGATTTGCTAGCTCCTCCCGAACTGGGATAAGATGCAGCAGTCTCGCCAGGCCGAGGCCATCGCGGAATAAACGGGCGTAAGCATGAATAAAACACCTCTATGGCGCCAGTCAGCCTTCTTCGAAATGCTCGAGCAGTGGGAAGCCTAATCCTCGAAGTCGATCAATACAAAGCGTTCAGGCACCGTGCACTCGGAGCAGCGGTAAATGGCGAAGATTGAAGATCTCCAAGGTTTTCTTTTCGGTAAGATGAGCGTCTTTGACGGCCAATTTGTGTGGTGGCTTTGCAGACCTGGTAAGGCTGCCGCTTGGGAAACTGGGCCCGTAATGTGATGCTCGCACGAGAAGCTTCCTCGTGTAAAGTCTCGAAGTGTAGAAATTCTTGTGCGATCTGAATTAGTCATGTTCGCCATGAGCTACTCTGGTTATCTAGCGCACGAATGAAGATCAGATTGATTACCATAGCGTGAGAAAGTCGTCCCGTCTTCCCAACCGCCTGGCCCAGTGGGTCTTTTAGACTGAAATGTTGCAATCACCGTTGTTATCTTTAATCTCTCTAGGTTCTACATCATTTCAGTCCTAGCAACCTTCTCCCTAAGGGAATGTGGAGAGGATGTTTGGCAGTGTGCAATGTCTTGAGATGAAGGTGTTATTCAAGATCCGTTTGAATCATGGCAGTGTTAATAATTGTATGTAATAGGTTGACATACTGATGGGCCTTGAAATATGCATCCGCTCTCACAACCGCTTGACGTCAGAAGACACCCCCACTTTAATAGAGTCGGGAAGGGTAAGAAAGGAGGCGGGCCATGTTAAAATTTGCATGGGTAAGTCAAGATCGGAGAAAGTGGAAACTGCCAGATGAATATCTTGCCGACGGTTCCCACATAGATCGCGGCCCGTGGTCAAAGCGGCAGGAACGAGGTTTGCAAGTGTGCCGTAGCCAACCTACGGGCAAGCCAGGACTATGCACGCTCGGACCCAGGCCCAGTAGTATGACAGGAATGCCATGGGTATCCAATTGCTATGCCCCGTCGGCATACGAGGGTTGCGGGGTGTGATAGAAGATGGCGTTTCAGGTTTCAATGTTCCAACTTGAGCATAGGTATCTAACCCTTTCCCGCCCATTGGTCCTGATCTCAACTTTCTTCACGCGCTCGAGCTTAACGAATCGAAGCCGTGCTGGGAACCGTAAGCACAAGCCTTCTCTACACTACCGACCGTTTGGATTCCCTCATGCCACGTGAAAGCTACACTTCTTCGTAACATTACTATTCCCAAGGGGTTGGACTTTTAATACGTAGACGAAGCAAGTGATTTCTAAGATGCAAGAATTGCTTCAAATTAGCTGGTAGTCTCTGTATCTAATACTCCTGAGCTGCTAAGCCTATCTCGGGAATTCGCGGTCCCATAACTTGAGAATGGGAATCTCGGGTAAATAGGTTGAGCCGGTATCTATCACTCTGCGAGTAGAGTTTTACATGAATTTACTGAACATTCCATTCAACGCTCAGTCATCTTGCTACGACATGTAAATAATGTCTTGGGTACAGCAAAAATAAGCCTCGATTTTTGAGACATTCATAGGATGAATTTCCTCAAACTTGCAGAAACCGTTAGTAGACAAGGGCATTTAATATCTCCACCGTCTTCTCTTCGGCTGCTCGGGATGAACCTAGACCCTAAGCTTCAGTGGGGCTCTTGTATAAAAAATATCCAGCAAGAATTATACATCCGGCTATACTCATTTAGCAAGCTGGCACAGTTAACTTGGGGTGCGACAATCGAGAAGTCAAAGCTGCCCAACGACACAAGTGTGAGACACTTCCTCACAAATGAGAGCTCAATGTGGGCCAAGGTCGGTCCCGGGGAGAGATATCAGAGAGGATAGTGAGACTGTTACGAAATTTTCAAATCAAATGCATAATACTGGTAAGAGAAGAATGTAACTTTGCTAGCCGCAGGGTACTAGGACACGAATCTTCTATTCTTCCAATCGAAATCTATCTGAAACAATGGAGGGCTCAGAATGCCAGATATCAGACAAACCACCTGTCAAGCAAATAATAATGGCCGCACAGAATAGAATTAAGCTACACTTTGACGGAAGAAAAGGCGGCAATGTTGGGGAACATGATTATGGATGTCGTTGAGTGTGCCCGAATCCGGAAAAATACAGAGAATATATAGTCAGAAGGGGCTAGTGTTATATTAACTCTTTAGGAGTCCCTACTCCTGGATAAGTAAAAAATAGAGGATAGCCTTTTGGCCATCTAACAGTAGCTGAGACTTGATGGTGGAAACCGCAAGAATTTTGCCCGTCAGAAATACTGGCAAGAAAATTTTAAACTACAAAGGACTATCTTCAAGCATCAATCATAACTATGGCAGGTTCCAAAGGAAAATCGCCATTAAGATACAAAGGGAGCTCATCAGGCTCAACGTTTGTTTTTATCAAAGGAAGGCCCCGGGAGTCACTATTCTAAGATTCCAGTGTTGATATCCATAAAAAAACGTCAAATGTCTGATCCTGGCGTAACTCCAGTGATTCAAGGGAAGAGAAGTACTGCGGATGGAAAAGATGGACCGTTTAAAGTTATTATAAATTAGATTTTAATTACAGTCCTAACTGAGTCAATGACTATTGAGGACTCCTAGAATCTATAAATAAGATACTAGCTACATTTTATAATTTCCAATTGTTTATCTTTGAATTTTGCTCTCATGGATAGTGAGGGATAAGCCCTTTAAAGTTATCATAAGCAGTCTGGAAGATGAAGAAAGAATTAAAGGTGGATCCCAAATAAAAGCTACTTGAACAATTTAGACTTGTAGAAGAGATTGAAGCAAGAGATGATGAAGGTTTAAATTAATCAGGGAAGAGATAGTATGGATAGCGCACTGGATAATGTATCAGCGTAGCCCAAAAGGAACATGAGCCAATAAGACAGTAGCATCGAAGACATTTTACCGAGCTTGTTTCTTAGATACTAAAGAAGTAGATATCCGATTAAGCCCGTGGGGTACTCTAATAGACCTTATGAAATCAAATCAAGCCTACACTTCAATCGCTAGTGCTAAGGGCAATGTTTTGAAACTTATTGGGAATAGACGGATGTATGTAATTAAAAATTTAAGGGATAGCTCTTGTCAGGGATAATCGTAGGCTCAGGACGATTGTGAATAAACTAATCTAATGAATCAAAAAATATCTCTATTATACTTTAAAATAAATAACATAGGAAGTCGAGACGCTGACTTGAAGCTTTCTGGGGCACTAGTAGTATTTATGTGGAGGCGTGAGTACTACAATTTGGGTACTCCATGATATTCGACTGTGGAAAACAGAGATTGAGCAACGATGACTGCCGAGGAGCATTTTTGGTATTTTTCTGGGCGAGTTGAAGTAACTTTTCCAAGTGCCGAGTATCACTCACATACTACAATCGTCATGCAAAGAAGCCGAATCTTTAATCATTCAATCCATCCAAGACGAAGCTTGTCGCATTTGACCAAGGGTCCAACAAGTAACTTTGGGACACGCTATTGAGCGCTTGCGCTTTAATCTTATCGAGACTGGATGGTGCTGCGGCATGCCATTCTGGTAGGTCTCCTCAGCGCTGTTGTAGATATTATTGTGCTTGCAGAGTCAATGATCATTTGGCACATTAGGCTCCTCTTTGACCGAGGCCACACCAATCTCGATGCTACCATCCTCTTTTTGTGCGAATTGAGATGTCGGATACACTGGCCATAGTGAAAAGTCATCTAGCCCAATGATTATTACCCGCAGATTTCAGATTTATTTTGCCCCGAACTTCCCGCCTAAAATTGTATCAATTAGTCGCGAGAGAAGCTGCGTGCGCGGGTATAATTTGGAACAGATTCGCTTGGAATTGAATAGCGCGGGAATTTTCCAATTTTGAGGCGGAAAGTCGTTGATTCCAGCTTGAGCGGGTCTAACCTCTATCCCCAAACGACATGCTGGGAGCGGAGGTGTAAGCTTGTCATGGAAGACAAGGGTTAGAAGGTCTCAGTGGAAGAGTAAACGTGGTAATGGAAATGGTGACCGGTACCTGCGGAACCCTTAGAGATTGTTATACCACACTCGAGCCCATGCAAGAGCAGTTTTCAAGATTTTATCGTCCGAAATATCGAGATGTTGGATACTAGCTTGTCGTGGGCCGCGTGACGCTAGCCGGGGTTTCAGCTGAGGCCAAGTCTGGCTAGGCTGACGCGAATGAATCACGACAACTGGACCTCGGAACGCCGAAGCCAGCAGAAGAAAAATTGGCAAAGAATGCGTGACCTCTGGGAATTTTATGCATCCAAGCTTGCGTGCAGTAGGTCGAAATAACGGGCCGACTGGACCTTGATCGAGCCACAAGCTACCCCGTCGCTCACACTCTCTGGCCGCTATGCCCGGAGATAGTGGGTGCCAGCGTGAGGAACACATTGGTGAAGGCTCAAGAGACGTTGGGAGTGATGGAATTGCCTCGCTGCTTATTTCACCTCACCCGGCTCGCTGGGCTCCAGGCGAGAGCAACTCTGTGGAGAGAGAAACCGCAGGGGCGGGAGGCACGGCTGACTCATCCCCAGACGCCACGCGGCTTCTAGACGAGAAAAGAGGCTGTAGCTCAGAGGGCGAGCGTCGCTCTCAGCTCCTCATGCCACTGTTGTGCCTGGCTACGTAGACTTGGGCCAACGCTAGCTGCCAGGAAAAATCCTGGCTCCTCACCAAGTCTCGGGAATCTGACTGACCACGGACCAGGGACGAATTTCACGCCGGCATAATTACCAACGGTCCGACTGATTCGGAAAACTACTACTGCTACGGTGGGAATACTAAAAATAATAAAATGGGAGTATTGCTGACTACACATCCCTAGTCCCGGTATCTCGACCTCATAGAGAATGTCCTGAGGAGGCCGCCTCATCATGCAAACCTTATCCGGCCATCGATGCTTTCACAAGAGCTGCAACTTTATGGAGGCTGGGTAACTCTGACGGCATGCATACAGCACAAAGTCCAGAGGTCTAGTAATGCGGGAATGTATAGGCACGAACAATGGCTCGCTCGTCGTGGGGAAGTTGAGACATTGTGCCCAAGCAATGTGCTTGTGAAGATTACAGATTCAGCATCGAGGTCAAAGCAGAGTTTTACTAGATTCTAAGGTTAAGCCTCTAAAATCAACAGCCCTCCTGGCGTCTAGCAAGTAGGGAATAGACCTATCTTTGCTGAAGGCCCCGCGTCTATCACTCGGTCCTTGGCGATGATTGACCGTTGCATGCCGAGGAGTTTCATGTGCTTATTCTATTCCCAGATGGGCCGGACTGTACTTATACAGAAGCAATATAGCACTTAATGTCTCAGTCCTAACCCCACGCATACTAGTAGCGCGACTAGCTGCAATTTATCAATTCAAGCTATTGCGGTAGAGACATAGAATCGGAAATGATCCCATTCTCATCATGAATGACATAAACCAATTACATTATCTTCGGAAATTCGAGAGAAAATCACGAAGCGCTCCTATGGCACATAGTATGAAGTTGAGAAGCTGCGGTGCATGAGATCTGACTTGATATCTTCAAAATCAGCTTCTACTCAATATCGGCAACTCTTTTGATGCAAATTTCCCAATCAACCAGCTCTTACACAATAATTTTTCTGATGCATAGGTGTTGCAGAAACTTGCTGAAAAGATTAACCCGAACTTTTCAATAGTCTACCCATCCATCTCTACACAGATAATTTCCCCGAGAAAGATGGCTGTTTTTATTTTTTCTAGACATACTATGGCTGCATGCTGATCCATTCTGTTAGACATTCAGACGAAAATTATACGAAGAAGTTTTGACCCTGTAGCTGTCTGTGCATTGGGCTCCTTCGAGAATCGCTCCCACTACCTGTTTCAAGTACCCTCTGGAACCCAAGAATACCCTAGCTGGGACGTTATAGAATAACAATGCTAGCACCCATCATCTGCCGCCATAATTTGAGCCCTGTCATGAAGGTGCTTGGACAATAAATATTGTTCTTACCAATAGCATGTAAATCCAGCTTATTCCTTCCCGTGTACGCGCGTTAGTCTAGCTGGTAATCATAGAGGGGAGAAATAAGTCTGGTGGGTTAATCAAAAACAACCCTACATAATCACTTAGGCTGCTGGGAATTTGTTGAGAGACCGGGTTTATCCAGCTATCAATCGTGACCGTCCTATCTCTTCAAAACATCAAGCTAGAGTGACAGTAGCACTGGAAGACCAGATTTTAGGCTCGTATTGAGTTGTTGGGGGCGTGCGACAAGAAATCTGGCGTCATAATTGTCCACTCACTTCTTGGCATCAACGTAGTATAGCGTAGGTACTACGCGCGGCAGCCGCTGTCTTCAATTCTAACTCGTGCCACTGTAGGGCTGACCCTCCAAAAATAGATGGCGCCAATTTTCTAGTCGAGCAGCACAAGAACTGATCATTTACCCAAGGGATGGAAAATGCTCCTCTATTTGCGTCGAATCGGATAGACGCCTGATTGTCAAAGCGATATTTATCCAAGGTTTCTGGCCATTATTCTCTTACTACCAAAAAGAGGTGGTGCTCTATTACCTTTGAAAATATCTCTCTGTTTCCCGCTGACTTCGTGGCTACTTTTTAACAATCATATTCTGATTGGTCTACAATCAAATACACTATCTAAATACTTACCAGTGTTTTACTCTCTAACCCTTGAAATCAACCAGTAAGAGGCCATTTGTGGGTACACCAGCATGGAACAAAGCACCCTTAGAGCTATCTGGAGTGATAGCTCTTCTAGTGTCAGCTCGGCCAAGCTTAGTGTACCTCAGTAGAATCAAAGATGTACCTCTACTTCTCACCAACACCCACGCCAGCTTTGTGTGGATATCAGGGGATATTTCTTAAGCTTCCAGGAGTTGTAAAGCCTGCTATCGAGCCGTTCGAGGTATTTGGTCGATTTAGTCTCATGAGAGGGCGAGGAGAAAGTTTTGGCGTGAGGCCAACCGTAGTGTAAATTAGTCGAGACTCGAAATAGTCATTGTAGGCGCCCGGCATGCGATTCCCTCCCGCATCGGCAACAGCTATCATGAGCCCCTTACTAAAAGGAACGAATATTCGATAGGATGAGAAATTTGAACCGGCCAAGAGTTGGCACTTTCCACACACACACACACCTCGAAAAAAGGCCGGCACTCACTGCAATAGCAAGTGCATCCTGCGTCTTCGGCCGGCTTACAGATCGTAACCGTCAAGTCACCCTTGTTAATTGAATCGATCTAAACGCGCCGAGATTTCATTGCCGGGTGTGGAGCTAGGAACCACTAATTTGACTGGCATGGAGGGTTGGCAAGACGAAGGCCAATGTATGAATTACCCTCTTCAATTATTTATTACATCTATTTTTCTAAATTTCCTGTTTCCATTGCTAGACTGTGTAATCGTAGCGCTTTAAGACGTTTGAGATGATGCCAACGAGTTGGACGTACTCCGGAAAGCGATCTACAGCCGTTCCATTGGTCCTGCTCTAGGCTCCTCCACTGGAATTTTAAGGAAGTGAATAAGTTAATCCGTGTAGTTAGACGAGAAGTAATGGGGTTCGACGGGAATCAGCAGAGGCATGAAGAAAGGGTTTAGGGGTTAGCGTGTAGTTACCACTGCAATAAACCTATCAGTGTCTCTATTCTCGAAAGTGATAAGGCTCTCGTATAAAGGCTAATTTCCTCTTGAGCCCCATTTGGCACAGTTAATGATTAGTAATTTCAGGTGTTAAGTTACGTTCGCCGACGTTTTTGCCTAGTGTCGTATATGATGGTTCGTAGCGAATCTTTCAACACGCAGACACAACGAAGCACTGGAAAATCACAGATTTCTGTAACATGCCTGCACCGTCATTTTCATCAGAGAGCTATGCTATGTTAGTCGGCTCTAGCTGAAACCGAAACCGCCGTCTCCTGTGGCTTACTACCTTTTCGACAAGGATACTTTAAGTCTTGTACAGAAAACAGCTCAGATAGTACATCTCAGCATCATGCAGTCTCTCGCGAGATTGTGGATGCGGCTGACAAGCGCGTTTCATCATGGCTATCAACACGCTCGCTACCTCACAAGAGCCGCCTGTCATATGGCAGAACAGGGCATGGCGAATTCAGCAAGTATCGTTAGCGAGCTCATCATTTAGATATTAACTTCAAATGCATTTATGAATAGAAGAGACGTCCACGGGACTTTTCAGAACACAGGACGGCTTGACAACGATAACAGCGCCATGCAATAAACATTACGTAATACATGGAAAAAATAATTTTTTGTTTCTTGGTAACGATTTGTTACTGTGTAAATTTTTTGCCAGGAGGAAAGGCTTTACATAGAATAAATTCTCAATTCTATTATTATGGGAATGATGGATCGGGTCCGGGCAAAACAGTTTCTTTTTATTTTAGTCATGTAGTTCTTGTGATGGCCTGGAACCAGTAATTTTGATAGCAATGTTCCACTAAGAGCTCACTTTCGTGTCAAGGCTCCCAAAAAAAAGGACTGTAGTCTAGTCTGTGGAATAATTCCGATCAAGAAATGACCTTGCAATAGTTTCGTGAAAATTGCGAGAAATGAAACAAAATAGCATAGAGCTATCGAAGTTCCTAATGAGCTGCATGCTAAAGAGCAGAGTGTATGGAGAGGAAATGAAGCCGAAGCATCCTTTGGATACCTATCAATGGGCTTTTCTGCTTTGACCATGGGCGAGAATTCGCACTCTATCTCTGGTAGGGAAATAATGCATTTAACTAGGCTATCATAATAGGTGAGCTGCAAGAACAATTGGTGTGCTACCGACACTAGGGTAAGTGTGTCGTGGATTTGGCTTGCTCACTTCTTTCCAGTGGTAGCTATTCCGCGACCAAGCTGGAACATTGAGTCCACTGTGTTATATTTATGGTGATCTTCATACTCATAGAACTGCCATGCAACAGGAAAGAAAGATTCGTGTTTCGCACGCAAATAATCGCCGCGCCGAGTTTACGACTTTGATTGTGTAGGTCAGTTGTCTGCCACAATTTGCTTATTTTTTTCGGACTAGTTGCGAGCATCTGTTCCTCTGACTCGTCGCGCCCTTCGAAACGTGAGTAAGAGCCGGCACCAGTAGTGACATGCGAGCACCAAAAATGGGTCTCCGCATAAACCATGCACGGCGTGTCCTTCTACCGCACTGATCTCCCTCTTCCTCTCGAGGGCCCAGCGCGATACGGCTATCCGACTAGTCATTGCAAGGCTGTAAAGCTGAGGTCGAAGCTACGCACGCCCCGACGGATTATGCCTCATAATTACTGTTGCCGGACGTGCCCAGCTCCGTTATCGGCTCGCAGCACCTTGTGCTGATAATCTTGCATTACACCTGCGCGTAGTTTCTTTGCGCTGAGCAGCAGCAAGCATCATTACCACGCTGAAATGGTCACGCTGGTGGGACATGATGGTGACATCTGAATCATAGCTGCGATTACTAATTTCAACACCGACATGACCAGGATGCAGAACCCATGTCTTGTGACTGATGAAGGAGCTCCCTATGCATCTTCGTCGTCCCAACTTTCCCCTGCCAGAGCTAAAAGAAAGTTCTAGTCTGCCTGATGCCGGATTTCAAATGGGCTGAGTAACATGATTTTCGTCTATTTGTCGAGCAATGGAATGATATCCGACCTTCTCTATTTAAACCCAGCCCCGTTCACCCAATGAGTCATAGCACCACCTTGTAAAGTGTTGAATACAATTAAATATGTTGTGTCCGTTGCTTAAATTCAGTCAGGTCGTGACAGCTCAAGCTTGTACTTGTTCTGATTAAGAGGTGTGTGGGCAATGGCCCTATAATTCCATTAAAATCCTTTGAAAAAGTAGGGCTGGAAGGGACGCAAACTGTTTAGTTTCCCTTTCCATGATCGAGTAAGCAGTAGTAGAAGTTCTCAAAGATATTGTAAAAGATTTGTTCCTAATTCTACCAATGCTTGTGGTGAGCCAGATGAAAAGTTTTATT